TGTCTGCGGTGGTGGCTGCTTACATCATCTGGTTCCTTCTTCTTACACCCTCGCCCTCTTATTCACCCCTTTTCCTCTTCCTCTTCACTTCGTTGTGCTGCCACCTCTTTTTTTTGCGTAATTTAAAGCGTTTGTTCAATGAATTTTACTATGGATTACATTGACGATCAATGATGTACGTCATATTACTGGTGTTGTTATGGCCGATTGTGTTCGTTTCGTTCTAATTATTTAATTTTTTCTTCTTTACTTTAAAAAAACACAACTCCATTTGGTGAGATATAATTTCCAATTTATTTACACCAACTTTCTGGTTTTTATTTCTTCGGTATTGTAACCACTTCTTTTGTAAATTCTCTTCTTTTTAAATATTTCAATATTAACAACTCCTTCTTAATGTATATTATTTCGGAAAAGCTATTGTAATAAGAAGTGTATTTTATACAAAATTTCCATAATTTTATCTTATTTACATTCTCCTTAAGGTTTATTATTTCGCAAAAGTGTCAATGACGTTTAAAATTAATATATTCACACACGAATGCTATGCGCTTTGTTTGGTGACCGCGAGACGAAGAGAAACGGTAACTTTATCCACTTATGCTTTGGTTTCTCTTTCACGACTTGCTTCAGTTAAGAGACATTTTTCAATTTCTTTACATAATTTGTATACACTCATTCGTACATGCATTTTTATATTGCACACATGGAAATTTATCGAAAATAGCAATAATGATGATTTCCTCACATTTCTTTACTCGATGCAAGCAAACCAATTTTTTTTTTTTTTTTTTTAAGTTTTACAATTACTTTATCCCTGCCGACTTGTATTTCTTTAATAAAGTTCTAGTTAGTAACTTTTTTTTCCATTATTTTCAGACATTATTTTGCAAAACTGTAAGCTTTAAGCGCTATTTTACCTTCTTTACACGCGAACTTTAAAAAGATCTCTCACATTAGTTGCTGTTGGACTTTTGTCTTTTTTTTTTCTTTCTTTGCACTTGAAGGCTCAATTTTAAAAATAGTTTTATTTATCCGCTTTTAGACCAACCTCACGGACACGTCCGCACCTCAGCAGAAGCCAAGTAATTCTCCCCTCTATCTTCGAAACAAAACACAGACAGACTACTCATCCCTACTCAATTCTTCTCTTCTTCTTTCTGTTGCTCTCTATAGCGGCTTGCCGCTACTCTCGCAAAAGCAAGCAAAATCCCGCAAGATCATGCGATTTTGCCTATTCTTGTAAAAGCAAAAAAAAAAAAGGGAATACCGCAAAATCACATGATTTTGCCTGTTCTTGTAAAAGCAAAAGAAAGGAATACCGCAAAATCACATGATTTTGCCTATCTTAATGAAAGGGAAAAGAAGAAAAGACCAAAACAATTATATCCCGCAACATCATGCGATTTATAAACGGTACCACAAAATCACACGATTTTGCCTAACGGCATGCCGTTATTGCGATACTTGCGGTTGACACAGACCGACAGACACTCTACCCAAGGTTTTTTCGCGGCCGTTACATGTCTTTGTTATTCTGCTCAAACCGATTGATGTCGCAGTTAGTTATGGAGAATTTTCAGACAGAAAAATCAGTTCGAATGTTTCGAAACTTAATGACAATCTCGCGAATACTTCCAATTTTATAATAGCTCGTGTGAGCTAATCTGAGTAATTCTTCTCCCAACGATTTGTCGAACTTGTAAGCGATAGCCGCTAATACGCACCATTTAAAACAGAAGGCAAAAGCATTTTTCACATTAATTGTAGTCATATACTAACTGGCAAGGGTACATATGAACACAGGGATGGACTCCAACTTGCAGCTGGTTAATTCGCCAAATTTAAATTCTCCTATCGCCTAACCGGTATTTCGTTCCTGGTATTCTTTGCGCTGCTTTTTTAAGCTCGATAAAAGACTCGTCAGTCATATCGTCAACTTCACTGCTTTTCCTTGCAGCAACGAATTTCCTTGACAAACGTTTCACTCTTAGCACCATTTCTGCTTCCAATTCCTTCACGTAGTCTCCAAAAAGACTTAAACTGAACTTTACGCAGCTAAATTTATCTAAATTGGTTTAAATTTGCATATATCTACGAATGTCATCTAAAAATTTGTCGATTGATACTTCGTCCCTCACGTTGCTGACAATTTTGTATTGAATCAAATTTACCGTTGTCGATGGAGATGTGAGGAATACATTTTCTTTTAACAGCAAAGCTGCGTTCTCCTTGTCGTTACTAATACTGAAAAGGGTTTTGTATTTTGTTTTCATCATGGAAAACTTCGCGTAATACACCTCACTGGAACACAGCCTGCTACGAACTCTTCACATAGATGCGTATGGAAGAACTCGTGTTCAGTCACAATCACATCACAGAAATAGCACCTTGTTCGCCTTTTTCCTTAGTTCAAGGAATCAGCTTGCTGCAAACCTAGCTGACAGGCTCCTCCAAATTCCAAGCAATAATGGTTCAGTAAATTCTCAGCTGTCTTGTCGCAAAAGCTACATTTATATTTTTTCATTTTTTTATTTTAAATATATTCTATATATAATTTTTTTTTCACACTGATCGATTTGGTGGTTTGATTATTTTTAGAAATAACTTAAGAGAACATTCTGCTTATATATAATACAAATGTTGGCGAACTTGCCTTCAAGCGTAATCCGTAAAATTCTTTCTACCTTTTATTGCCCGGTTTTTGCTGATAAATGCTTTTAAATATGTTCCTAAAGTAATAAATAAAATAAAATTTCGCCTTTTTGTCGTTTATAATGCACCATAACAGTAATTCTTTTTCCACTTTCAGTGAAGTATTTATCCGAATGGAAATACTGATAATAAAAATACAAGTGAGGAAGGCTCATTAGACGCTTGAGTGTTTGCAATATGGTGAAATATTCACACCACCCAGAGTGTGCTTTATTTCTTTTTCCTGGAAATTTGTCTATGCATTTCTATACGTTCGAGTTTAATTGACAAGAATGTCGTTGCATCTGCGCACGTCGAGTTTAAGATGCTCTCAGCGATCAAAAAATCGGACCTGAGAATTACAAAGATTGTTGAACTTAGAGCAATTCTCTGGGACACTCCATCTTGAGCGTTATAAATATTGAATTTGTCAATTTTAACTTTAACATAGAAACATCTGTCTTGCAAATAGGATTTAAGCAATGAATACACAGGAGTTGGAAAGCATTTTTTAATCTTGAAAAGCAGCCCATCATGCCACACTCTATCAAGCCCAATAACTTTGTGCTCCCAATGGCTTCTCTGATATGCGAAACAAAGCGATAGCATTGGTTAATAATACCATGTTTATTCCTGAAAGCGAACTGGTGGTTAGAAATAATAACTGTCGGCCTTATAACTGGGAGCAGTTTTCGTACACATATTTTCTGCAATATTTTGAAAAAACTAAATAATAAGCTAATTAATTGGTCTGTACGATCTTGTATCATTTCCTAACTTGTTAGATTTAGCCACCACAATAATTTCTGCACATTTCTATTCGGTTGGAAAATGACCCAATTTTAACTTACTATTAATAAATAATTGTGAGGTGATGAGAACATTAGATGGTAAAGTTTTAATAATATTCCCCTTATGCAACCACAACCAGGGGCTTTCTTAAAGTTTTTTTTGCTCACTTCTCCTGTGAGTTAAGCAACCGATACATGTCTGGAATGCCAATCGCATAAAACGTAGGGTATCTATAATGTCTAATATTTCTTCTGCACTCTATAAAGGTTATTAAGATGAAAATTTTCTTGTAGGGATTGAGCAAAATGTTAGGCTTAGTTTTTATCAGCTCTGCATTAATTTCTGGATCTTTCCCTTAAAGGAAAGATCCGCCTGATCGGTCATGTAAGACATTTAGTAACTCTCCATCCGGAATGTTCATCAAACATGCCTGAATTGATGTTGATTAAAAAATTGTTTATTCATTCAGTTTTTATGTCGAGTCGACGTGAGCGCAAATCCTTTGTAGCTTCTTTTACCTAGAAGATTCCTGTTGTTACTATTATCTTCTTAACTTTCCTAGTTTCTAATTATTTGCCTTATTTCAAGCCCACCTACAGCTAATTTCAATATCTAGGCTCATATAGATTTCTGGGACCAGATATAAAATCAGCTGGAGGAGTAAGATTTGTAACATCTTCTACCGCGTCATCAGATTTGAGCTCAAATTAAGTTCTAAATTGTTGTCGATCCAAACTCTAAAAGTCGCATTGTCAATTTTACGATTGATGACATATTTCATGGAGAGATTATGTCGAACTTAATAAGAAATGGAAAGTGATCAGATTTAAAGTCATCATTGTCGTAAAGATGAAGCAAATTAGCGGGAATGCCAGAGGCCGGATTCGGGATACTAAAAATTTTCCTCATATCAGATCAGATATCAGGTCAGTACGTGAGTCTTCCAGTGGACGAAACAGAATAGTTATAATTTGTAGAACTTCCTTGTTTTCAAATTTATTAGACTATATAGATTTTTGGTGTTAAACTCACATCCAAGAATAAATTTTGAACCCAATTGCCTGAGGAAGCCATCGTAAGTATTAGATTTTAATGAAAACCGGAGAGGAAAATAAACTAAGTAAATTGAAATATCAGGACCAGGTATACAGTATCCATACAGTGATTCGGTGAGTTATCATCATAGGCTAGAGTCTAACAGCGTCATCATATTTATAAAAGCGTTTCTCAAATTGCTTTTTAATCAAATCCCCCAATTTTGAAAAAGATTAGTATTTTTCAACATATCAGCGTATTAATAATTAAGAAGATTATTATTGCCATTATTCATACTATCACAAGGTACAGCTGAGAGTCGTATATTAAACAAAGTGACGTGATTTCAACCTAAAATGAGCAGCTCTATGTGCATTGCATAAAAATTAATATTCTATTTACAATATTTATGCATGTTAAGTAACCCCATTTCAACTAACCTGTTAATAATTTGCCCTTTCTATTTAATTTCTAGATCAAACTAGGGAAATGTGTTCAAAAAAGCGAAAAAAACAAAAACTGAATGTACGCAATCAGATGCAATATTAATAAAAAGTTTGTTTTGTTAAGAAAACAAACTAAATATATTAAATGTTAAGGAGACACATAAAACGTAAATTGGCCATAAGCTCCTTATAAAAAATGTGCTCCAATTATAAATACTTTAGAAGACAAGAAATTCAAGCAGAAATAAATGAAAAGAATTTAATAGCCGCGGGAAATACGATACGAAACCGCAGATGGTCAAGGATTAACGGTAATACAAATAGACACAGCAACGTTGTTAATAACGCTTTAAAAACTCATTACAAAATCAAAAATGAATCCTTACAAGCAAGCCAACATCATCAAAGCTTTAACCAAACCCGAAGCGCGTCATTATCCACGTCATCAACTATTCAATTTAACGACCACAAATGCAATAACAGATTATTTAAATGCACAAAATCTATTCAATCATATAAGTCATTGTTGAAGAAATGGCGTCCTGCTGACAACGCCATACGACGAAGTGCCAGTAGCAGAAGCTGTCAAACTAAAAAGAGATCCCTGATGTACTCAACAAAAACCATATCCTCTGTCAACACAAAACACGTTGTAGCATCAAATAAAAAGAGGTTTCACAAATTTATATTAAAGCAATTCCGAAAAAATTCGTCCAGCGACTTGCAGATCAGTACCCTACTTTCAAAAGACACTTCTGTTCTACCGACCTCTCTTCGACTATTTGGACGTTCCATGTTAGAGTTCTACAGGAGTAGTTCTTTTTTCATAGTAGCTCTAATAATATGCCTTATTTTGCACAGCAGCTGCGCTACTACTTCTCAAACCACATTACCATCAAAACCAACTTCATCCGTGATGCCATCTGATACATTCGTTGTTTCCCAAGTTGCAAATAGCAGCAGTACGCGTCTTCAAGGATTAACTTTGGCACTTGGAATAGCGGAAAACTCGTTTTACACCAACCACACGACTATTATACCGTTAGTAAGTACTGGTGATCAGCTCCACTCATTGATACCTAAAGAACTCACTTGGGAAATTGGTTCTCAAGACAACAATGAAAACGTCATAAGTTACATTAATCGTCACAATATACTGAATCATCGCCAACATGGTCAGCATCAACAGATAAGTACGAAGCAAAGAAGAACTGAGAATGAGTCTAAAAATAACATAAATGATGAAACAATAGCTTACAACCAACGCAAAGAAAGCTACAATAACAGTCCTCAATCAGACAACTTTACAAGTGCTAGTAGCTGTTATTCGTGCCAAATGCGAGAAAGAGCCAAGTTGGACAACTTAGAATCAATTAAGCGACACATTTTGATGCGTCTGCATATGTCACAACTTCCAAACATAACTGATCCTCCTGTAGTGCCGCAAATTATATTGGAAAATTTTTATAAAAGCTTTCATACATCGAAAACATCCACCCCCACAACGTACAATATGCGATATCCTGCTCACCAGGATCACAGCATAGGTTACAAACCGTCAGCATCAGTGAAAAGCAATTACGATGAAGATGGAAATAATCATGGTGAAGGCGACGAACCGATAAACTTTGACAATAAAATGCAAGGTGATAGTCCCCAGCGACTCTATAATATTTTCAATTATAACAGTGAAGAAGAAAGTTACGATGAATTCTACTCCCATCTCCACAGTATCTTCATTTTCCCCACAAGTAAGGCTTTTGTTATTTTAGTCCCTCTCCTTCAAACATTAAGATATACAGTGATTTCCACTTAGTCTATTCTGAGATAAGCTCTATTGTTTCGTTCCCTAATGACACATCATGTACGTCCGATGAATTTTTGTCTTGACAAATGTTTACTTACAATCGCATTGTGTTTATTTTTTATAAAATTTTTTTCTCTTTCTCAACAGTTACCCGACTCCGTCATAATCACAAACCGGAAGTTTTGAACTTTAATTTACATTGCGATGCCTCTAACATTGGACGTGCCTTCTTGCACGTGTACATACGAGGCCATAACTGGATGCGCGAGCGTCATCCGGAACTTTTGGAATACAAACATTCGGATGGTAGAACTGAACAACGACGTGAAGTCATTATAAGTGTTCATCGCGCATTAAGACGTCCAAATTCCGTCAATTACACCCACACGGTCAAATTAATTGAAGTAAAGTGCAAAATACCAATGGGTTTTGGACAATGGACTGAAATTGAAATGAAGCAACTATCTATGTATTGGTCCGCAAATGGCAACGCTACACAGAGTCTAATTATCAATGGAAATGAATCTTGGATGCGTCCTTTTATTGTTACTGATAGTAAGACCAGTAACAGAGCACTGGTAAGTGTTGGATTTAATCAAGTAAGATTTAACTGTTATTAATTTAATTATAAAAAGTTACATTAAAAGGACGACATGTACTTCTTACATTACGTAACAATAAAACAGGAGTTTAACAACTCTGCGCTCGTGCTGTGGTCGTATCTTTTACTTTGGGTGTAGGAATTGTGTTATTCGTTTTTTATTTTATTGCTTTACACGGTTTTAAAGCCCAAATAATTATAAAAGTGCTTAATTTTATTGAAATGTATTGAAGTTTATTTGTAATTTATATATATCATATTGTTCTATGTGCTGATATCATTTTGGTTTTCACAATCAACGCTTGGTGCTCTCGTCAAAAATCGTCTTTCTTTTGGCATCCAAAAATCTGCCTTGGTTTGTGGGATGTACAGTTTTTCTCTCTTCTTACTCTGTTTTTATTAGTGTGACGTCTGAGCGACTCATTAGTTAGTGGCTTCACGAGCGTTATTCTTAAGCGAAATGTGCAGGTGTTACTGTCGACGTTGCAGACGCAGTCCTAGATGCTTCAAAAAGATTACGTTGGTCACGTCCCGACTGTAGGAAGCAAGGCATTGACTTTTATAAGCGTTCCACGGAGACAATGGTTTTTCTGAATTAAGTAAAAAGCTCGTGACATTGTGGGGAGAATTCGAAAAAATTAGAACAGAGATTAAAAAATTAGAACCATGATCGCTACTTCCTCCAGTTCTTAAAAGACCAGCTTGTAGTGTAGTGTGCAGCACTTCCTCAGTGATTAAACTCAGTCTTACCTTTACATACCCTGACAATGTTAGACGGTTTTCTTCCTTCTCTTTGGAATCGCAATCATATCAGTTTCAAGTTGACTTAAATGATTTAGTTATATGGTGCTCGTTAAATTTTATGAAATTAAAACACAAAATTTAGAAAACGTAGATTCGCTCATCGATTTAGGTTCTGCTCGATTTAAGACTACGTTTTAATTTGAACATTGAGGTCTCTTTAAGTAAAGCTAGGTCCGCGCTTGGTTTCATTAAAAGGTGGTCCAAAGAGCTTAAAGAGCCTTAAGTTACATGGCTATTGATGCGCTTAGTTCGACACATACTTAAGTAAGCTTCTGTTGTGCGTTCGCCTTTTTTTAGATGTTATGTGGATTCATTTGAGTCCGTTCAAAACAATTCTGCTTGCCTTTAGGACCTTGGCTTGGAACCCTTATCGTATCTTTCTGCCTCCTAGTGAACATCGATTGTTTATGTTACCCTTACCATCACTTGTGGTGATATCGGCACGCCCACATTACTTGGTGAGATAAACTGTATTGCACCTAATGGGTTCTTTAGAAACTTTATATTCATTAAGCGAAGTCAATGTAAATATAATTATGAGCTGTTCAGCCCGTTTGGAGTTGTTTGCAGAAGCTTAAATGATGTCTATAACTTAATCTCGACATCGGACTCTTTAACGTCTATCTGAATAACTTTCCTTAATACTTCGCCTATGTCGTACTTAAACTTGCTTGCAATCTTAACATCTGATTATGATTTGAAAATTTATGGGTGTTGTTCACTGTATTGGTTGCCAAGCTTTTGTATGTTTGGAATGGCTTAAGTGTTCACTCGCAACTTTCTTTCTTATTCTTTCTTATTTATACACAAATTATTATTTCATTATTATTTTTTTCCGTTCTTTCTTTACTTCGTCTTATATACTTTATACTTTCTAATAATAATTAGAATAAGCGTTACTTCAAAGCGTCAATTGAATTCGGCTGTTAATTTATTTTAGCTGACTTTCATGTGTAAATAAACAAACAACCAAAAAAATGACATTGAATACTTGGTCGCCCGTGTTATAAGTGCGTTCCATATATATCCGTTCCATATAATCAAACTTGAAAATAAAGATGTGATATTTAAGAATTTTTTTTTTGAAATTCTATCTGAACTAAAGTTGGCTTCAGTTAAAATGCCCCGCCACACCCAAAGCCAATCAGGTCAGTCGTGCATCCATTTCTAGAGCAAGGAAATTAATAGGTAGCGAACAGAGATGCACGGACCCTATTGAGAAAGAGATCGCGATTTGATTATCCAATGAATTCTAATCTTTCTTCCGGTGACTGTGCGATAAAAAATTTTGTGCAGTAGTCTGCTGGAATTTGCTGAAGTTTGGAAAAACATGCGGCTGACAATCACAATAGAAGTTATTCGATGATTTCAAAAGTAATTTTTTGCAATCTTACGGAATATCTTTTACACAACCTTTACTTTTTGGAGCAGATTGTCAAATTAAAGCAGTCTGACTTTTACGCATTGTGTACTCACACCAATTAATTATGTACAATGTTGTCATCGCAGCCAAAAACAGACATAGTCTTTGGACTCATTACACATCAGCCAAAACCTCAAAGTCTAAGAGCGACCCTTCTGTGGGGAGTTTAACTCTTTACTCTTTGCTAGAGAAGAGCTAATTAGCGCAAAGAAGATGAGACTGCCAAGTACCTTAGAACTGTCCGCACAAAATACAATCAACCGAGTAAATTGTTAATTTCTACATCTCCAAGTTGTTTGAAATGTTAATAACGAAGGATCATGAATATTCAGCACCGCAGGAGGAAGCTTCTTCAAAACGCTTGCAACACCCAGAAAGAAACTTCACAGACTCCAAAAATTATATATATTCTTGATCAACATCAAATGTTAACAAATAATTCTGTATCTTTCATTAGTTATAAAGGCTGCAGATATCTTTTGTTTTTTTAACTGATAACGCGCTATAAATTCAACCCAATCCATCGTATCATTTTTACAACGATCATTTTTTAGAATTCGGCCTTCTAATATCAAGCAAAATTTTTACATGAACAACATAAAAAACAGCAAAAAAAAAATTAATTAAGTTACTTCTTCGGGCGCACATTGCATGCCCCTGTACATACCACGTGTACATACCATAGAAACATACGCGTATATTCATTTTTTCAAAATGCGGAACCCACAAAGAAACTTCAGTAGATCCTAAATAATGTAAACATTTTTGATCAGCATCAAAAACTCAGTCGATTTAAGCATTGCCGTTTGTCATTCTAGTAATATCTCTGATAAAAATTCTCCTGGTTACAGAAATAAAGTTATCGTTAACAATTATAGCACAAAAATTGGAAATTGTTGTGAGCAGGTTGGTAGTAAAAATGGGTGAAATCGGTGGAATAACACGCCCGCAGTGCAACGTAAAGTAAGACCTTGGGTTTTTTTAAAAAAAAAGGGGTTTTTGTTCCTTACTACAACAATAAATGTTTCCATATTCAGCTTTAACATAAGTTTAGTGGGTGTAAAAGATTTGTCCGCAGAGGAAAAAATGTCATTTACGCGCAGCGCTGGACTGAAAGATATTGGGCCACAGCCCTTTGAGACCTGACCTGGACTTGTGGACCGATAAAAGTGCTGACTGTCGATTATTGGATAAGCCAATGGTTTTCTGTAAGGTAATTCGTTGAAACTAAGTCACTTCATTACCAAACTTCAATCGTTTCAACACCTGAAGTTCCTTAACCCAAAAATAAAATTGTTAAATAAAGTAAAACTAAAATTGTTGTTTAATTAACGACGATTAATGATAATTTAGTACAGAAGGATCAACCAAATACTAAATAAAATAAAACCTTATTTAACTTATGTGCAACTTTATTTAACTTATGTTCCAAATTATTCGCTTAGATTGCATAAAATTGCTATCACTAATGCAAGAACGCAGAATATCAAAATATAGTAGGGATAGACAATATTTCAGTACAGATTACATAACCTAATTACAACAAACGCTATTCGTATTTTAATGTAATCACATATATTTTATACCAATAGTCTAATATCTTCTGTTTATTCATTTCATGTAGCGGATTCACATTGAACTGATGACCAAGGCGCCAAAACGTAACAAACGCAGCGCCAGTTTGGATTGCCGTGAAGGGGACAATGAGGTACGCTGCTGTCGGTATCCGCTTCGCGTAAACTTCAAAGAGCTCAATTGGACATTTATAATGGCGCCTGGGTATTTCGACGCTTACTTTTGTAATGGTAACTGCAAAGCAGGCTACCTAGAGCAATACACGCACACACATTTAACGACTTTGTCCACGTCAGCAACACCGTGCTGTGCTCCCAGCAAAATGAGTCCGCTACCCTTGTTATATTTCACCGCTCACGAAGAGCTTCTAATGACTGTTATACCCAATATGTCAGTAGACAAGTGTAGTTGCTTTTAATGGAAATTTACTCGTGAGAGTAGTAGACAAGATAGTAAACAAAAGATTAAATACAGAATTTGCGCCAACTTTGCAGAAAATTTACTAAATTTACCAAATTTACCAAATTTTAAAAGAGAATATACTTTTATATCCATCACCAAAAAGGAGGTATATATCAATTTTACCACTTATTTCTGCATATCGCGCCGACGACTTTACAATGTATATGGTTTTCATCAGCATAATATTCGAAGTTGATCTTAAAAAACGGCCGAACATCTCATTGGACATTTCATTTTACAGGCAAGTCTAAATAAGAATTTAGGAAGTTCCGTCCATAATTCTCCCAAGCTTCTTTAACGACTGTGTACGTTCAGTTGTCGCAAGCAAATACTGATGCATTAAAGTACAATTTCACGCCGATAATCTCACATATACTTACTGTACTATAAATGGATTCATTTATAATGTAAATGAGCAATGAAATTTCATTTTCTATACCTGCCTTTATCATAAAAGAAAGAAAAAGCAGTGGATTTTGATACTTTTAATTTTCTGTGGGCACGGGTGTTTCTTTTTTCGATTTTTGCAAAATATACGTGGAAAATTTTATCATGTGTCTATTTTAGTTAGTTAGTTGGTAAAATATCCAGAAAGCAGAAGCAGTTTGCATTGTAAACATATAGTTTGCATTGTAAACATATTGTTTTATCAATTTGGGCTACTTAAAAATTTTTTTTTGCCAAGTTTGAAGGCGAAATTTTTATTTCCCCGGACAGGATAACGTTTATTACAGATAATACACAGATCTCCAAAAGGACAGGTGTACAGACGAACATGCTAGGGCAAGAAGCGTATTTATTGGGTTTTTGATGTTTGCCTTGTTATACATGTTTTGCCAAGGAGATAAAATTTGGCTATATTATAATGTTGTACTAAAGGATTTATAGAACATGCACGAAAATAGTTTTATACATTATAATTTGGAAATAATGAGCAAAAATCGTTCTTCTTCCTTTCGTAAACAGCGATGTTCTTAGCTTAACTGGTGCTGTGGGCAGTCATTCGACCGGTTTGGTTTACTTTCACTAACAATCTTGGCATGTAGCAGAAGTTTTGGAAATTCTTTAACGTTGATAGTTTAGAGGGACAGCCGGGCATGTTTAAGTCGATTGAGCTTTCGATTCTAATCAAGCATATACGAAATTTTTGATGTCTTTAAAGCTTTCTTTTGGGTTTAAGGGTTTGGCAAAATGTATATGCCCGCGTATACCTGTATTGTGTACAAAATTAATTTTTGGTAGTGAATACGTAATATGCGTTCGAAGAGGTATAGTTATTTTTTTCGATTGTGTACATATTTACTTAACGAAATATTTCAGTTAGACTCGACAAAAGTTGAACTCTAAAAAATGATAACTGTAAAAATTAAACGCATTTAAGTTGTGTCCAATGAATGACGGTTTGAATATTAAATGAATACTTATACATTAAATCTATTTAACAAATATATACTCTTTTTCAACCACTTAGAAAAGTTTATTTTTAACCAAAAATTTAAAACAAAACTTGCTTCAATCGCGACGTATTTTTAAGAATAATATAAAAACTCGTTTTCAGTTAAAAAAAATCTAAAGCCTGTAAACCAAATAAAAAATGTAGAATTAAGTGATGTCTAATGAATATTACGTATAGCTAAAATGACTTAAAATTACAGCTGTTGACAGTACCGAGATATAACAAAAGCGACCAAGTAAGATCGTTACAGTCAGGCAAGACTGTCGATTAAATACCCTATATCACATTGTCTAACACAATTCTATTCAATCTAATATAGTACAAGTTTAATCCTTACATAGAGCAGGACCCAATAATAGGCGTAGATTTTCCAAATTTTGCAGAGTTTATTTTTGTATGAAATCACAATAATATTATGATCAATTTCCATCACTTGTTAAAACTGAGGCTTTTCTGGTCTACAAAGGATCAATTTTTGTGAAAAGCTTTATTAGGGTACAATCCAAAAAATAAGCCGAGGTAGTTCAAATTGTGCACAGTTAATTTTTTTATTTTAATTTACTATTATGATATAGTTTTCGTCGCGAAGCTTTCAAAATTGAATCTTTTTGTCGTATGAACTTCAGTATTCGCTACATGAGATAGTGTTCAAAAATTGCTCTAGCTTGTCCAAAGCTACCGTACCAATCTAGAATTCTCAAATACTACTACTTAGCCACTTTTTTTGAGAAATTTTGAAATTTGCAATTTTTGTTAATATAACGGCTTTCCAGGATAGGGCGTTATATGGGGAGTGCTTGCAAAAGTGGACCGATCCGAACTATTTTCAATAGCAATAGTTCTTGAGTCAAAACTGTACCCAATTTTCTCGAAATATCCCAAAAATTGTGCTAAAGCTATGTACAAGAAGCAAACGACTTTGGTTCGGAATAAATTTCTATTGCTATATGAAATATTACTCTAGAAAGCATTTACATCAGACAATTGCTACATTTTCGGCAATTACAACAGTATATCAGTTTTTAAATATTATGATACAAAACAAGTATGCACATAAAAATATCGCTATTTTTATATTTAATTTTTATGGTGTGTTACTAAACGCATGTTTATGCAGGACTTATAGATGACATACGCTATAAAATGCTAAGTAAGATTTATTGAAAGCTTTCGTTTTTCGAGCTTGCTTCGTAAATCAAAAAAGGATAATACCAATTTCTGCCGAAATTTTTACGATTTCGCAATCTTCAACAGCAGACAGTTAGGACAAAGTCCAGTTTGAGTTTTATGCTGATCAAAATTATACGCTTTATATGGTCTTTGATGCGCTTTCTTGGAGCTTAGACTGCCGAGATTGCTTTGAGTTTTGTGCTGATCAATCATTATATACTTTGCAGCGTCTTCTACGCGTATCTTTGGGGTGACAAATAGCGGTGAGTATTCAAGCATTGGGTTTAAAATGAATCTATTTACTTAAATTAATTTTACATTACAAGATTCGTTTCCGCAGTAGGCATGTCAACTACGCGAATATTACAGGAATGTGGTTACGATGGAAGGTCTCTCTCGGGATTTGACCATATCAGTGACATCAAAATTACCTGCTACTACCCAGATTTAAACAAAATCGATTTACTAACTTGAAGTGACTGTTCCAGTGTATGAAAATGAAAAGAATGTTTCAAGTTTGTGGAAGAAAGCAAATATACTCTGTAATTTCTTACTAGTACGTTAAGAAAGCAATTTGCTTATTAAATTTTGATAAAATATGTAGTTATCTTAAGAGTGTTTTTCTTATTTGACTTTGCATTTCCCTTATTACTAACTCAACTAAAAAATGAATTGAAACCTATTGAAAAAATATTGGTGAATAAAGAGTAAAAATAAATTACTTGCATCGGTGGCAAAATTTGAGTTACTAATTAAGGCACCTGATACAAATATTAATTTACTACTATCGTGCACCATTGGTATTGATTATTGGTAAGATCGCGAAACTTAACAGAAATGGGCAAAATGCATTTGGTTATACTATATCGAATCCTACTTATTTTAAATCAGCAGAAATGTATGATAAGGTACCATATAGAAAAAATAAACTAGAAGAGAATAATAACTTTAACTAATTTAAATAAATTGCATCCCATGATAGTCTGTACATTTCGCCTGGTAGGTAACACAGAAACAAATAAAATTGTTAATTTGAATAGTAACGTTTTTTACCTACCGCATATTTTTAATCCAATATTTCTTTGTACTATTTTCTTGTTAATGTGTGTATATTTTTAGCAGGAATAAGCAGTTCTAAGCTCACTCAGTCGTAGAGAAACCTGTACAAACTATTAATTATTGAAATGAGAAAAAAGGAAGATCAATATTTATTGTAACTCATACTTCTACATCGCATCGGTATAAATATGCTGTACAGTTTTTTTTGTTCTTTGACTTGATTTGTTTTTATTGCTCCTGTTATTATTTTTGCTATAGCGAACGCAAGATCGGCTTTCTCAAATCATCGATCAAATCAACATAATCACATAACTAACGTTATATTAGAAAAAAATATAAGGCAATCTTTTTGGTTGTTTACATGTCAAAATCACTTTATTGAATCTTTTTAATTTGTTTTAAAATAATTTTTACAACTTTCAAAACATGTTTACTTTATAACTTCCAAAATATGCTTAGTAGGCGAAGTTGGCGAAAATAATGAGAAATACAATAACTGACCGAAATGCTGATTTAAAGTCTGCTAAATGAGAATGAAGTTAATGAGCCTTGTGAGTTAGGTTGGGTTGATAACGTTTAGTGATGGACGTAATCCCTTCCTCCTTAGAATGAAGTGATGGCTAGAGAGTGTTTGGAAGCTCTGGTGTCGGAATTTCATTGCTATTTTGCTTTATACAAAATGTTGTTGTCACTGGGTTTTTTAGGGAAGCGATTATAGTTGTTGTCAAGACTACGATACTTACTGGTCCCGACCATGTATATGTTACGTTTTTGCTCTTTCTTGCGTTTACTTATTGTTCATCATTTAGTTGATATTTGACTGTCAAAGCATCAACACGTTTGGTTCCGTAAGCGAATGTTAATTTGATAAGCGGTTAAATCAGTGCGAAAATGAGTTTAAATAAAAACAATTATTGAAAAAAAAATTTTTTTTTTTTTTTGGTATGTTGAATGGAAATGGACTAAGCCAATAGATTTGTGGCTTATATGTCCATTATTGAAAAATTTGTACATTTTTTGTTTCATGTGTATGCACATTGTACGTGCATATACAACTTAAGTAAAAATCATAAGTGACGACAATGTGTACATGACAAGTAAAAACAATTTCATTTAATTCCATTTGTCGTTACACACTATAAGACTAAACATTTAGTTTCTTTCCACTTTCGACCTTGGAACAAAGTGGAGTTAGAACATTTTGAGGAGTAATGGAAAATATTAAACTGCACATTAAGTAAAATTGCTTCATATTCTGTGCTGTTTGCTGCCTGATAGCCTGAAGTGAGCTAGTGCACTTAGCTTCTACCCTTGGCGGTGTTGGTGTACTTCTGTCCACTTGTTGGGGTGAATGTTCTTTATCTATATATTTAACTATATACAAGTTAATCTATCACTTCGCCTCAACTATTGTCTTAATGCACTTAATGAGATATTTGAAGATAACTCATAAATTACTGTAAAATGGGGAAAGGTAAGAAGAAAAACCCTGTCCCAAAGAGTGTTGCTGGGGGGCTGTTCGAGGATATGACGTCCTCTGTTGAAGAGTGTGTGGTGGCCAAGGGTGGCCAGAAGGCTACACCATTAAAAGGGGGTAGTGCAAAACGCAACTACATTCCGTCTGATGTGTCGGATGGCGACACCGCGGTTGAGATTAATATGCATCGTAGTGATTCATTGCCTACGGTTTCCGGTTTTCGGCCGGTGAAGAGGCGCAAGGCGAAAACTGGCAATGTGACTGCACCCGTTACCTCCGCTCCTGTAGTGGGCGCGGCTAGCAGGCCAGTGCGTTTGGAGGAGCGGAATGCTATTTCAGTGTCGGTAAGCAAGGTTAAGGCCATTACTACTTGCCTGCAGAAATGAGTTCTTTCGCCGGATAGCGTTTCGCTAGAGGCTGCCGGTGAGCTTTTAAGCCTTGCTGGCAAGTATGGGGTGATTCTCTTCGTCCTGGTGGTCGAAGATTCACGTTGTAGAAGCCGCATCGAGGAGTTAGAAAAAGGCGACGGATGTTTTAAATCCGCCACCTGCTTGGGTGGGGCACCCCCAACAATGTCGGTTCCTCCCCCCGTTGTTGAGGTGGCACAGACTGTTGTACCGCCAAAGCCAGTGGAAACCTGGTCTGCGATTGTCCATAGTAGGAATAGTGCGGACACACCTAAGGAGATGGTTAAAAAGGTAATGGAGCAGGTGTGACCCAGGTTGGGCGTTAGGGTCCATGGTATTAAATCAATCCGTGGGGGAGGAGCCGTAATTCGGACTCCATCTGTTGCGGAGAGGGTAAAGATTGTGGCCAACGGAAAGTTTAAGGAAGTCGGGTTTGACGTTTCCATTGTGAAAAAACTAGGCCCAAAAGTTTGGAGTTAGTCTGTCCATCAGGAGTTGAGTCCGTCCGCTTATAAGCTTTACGAGATTAACCTTAAAGGTTTATTCTCCAGTCGGAAAGAGTTTGACACGGGGGTTCGCCATGGGCAGATGCTGACAGCAAGACAAATGTTATTTTGGAAGGCTGTAGCTCTGCCATGGATTGCCTTTTGCGCGCTGGTAGGGTGTGCGCTGAGTGGATGTCGTTCTCAGAACGAACGCCGCACACTGTAGAAATTGCGAATTCAAGGGCCTCCAGCAGGTCATCTTATGATGTCCTCTGCCTGCCCTGAAGATAATAGGATGATTGCGCGGGTGGCAGCTCGCCGTTAAAATGGCCTTGCCCATACTCCAATATAACTGTAATTGCACTTATAATGCGCTGTGTGAGTTCGACCAATGTATGCGCGAGGTAGGCAGTGGAGTGGCGTTGGTTCCTTGACCACAATGGTCACTCTGCTGTCATTGTGAATGATGTGAATGTGGCAGCCACACCTGTCCTTGCAACTAGTCACAGCGTCTGTGTGTCCGTTGAAGGCACATACGGAAGGCTGTTCTGTGCAAACCTTTATTGTAAGTTTAATCTAGAACTGGATGACTACCTTAGGTATTCGGGGTAGCTGCTTGCTGGTGATATCCCACTAATCCTGGGGCTGGATGCTAACGCTTGCTCACCCCTATGGTATAGCAAGATGCCAGTACGTAATTCGGGCTTAAGCAACCAACTAAGGCGTGAAGTGCTGCCTGAGTGGTGTATAACCAGAAGTGTCCAGGTGTTAAATGAGCCGAATGAATGGTTCACTTTTCATGGTGCAGTTGGGGCTACTGACATTGATGTCAGTATTGCCAATATGGCAGCAATGGGCTTGTTCGATTTCTCATGGGGGGCGAAAGGTGGTTGGGGTATTAGCGATCACTATGTTATTGAACTGGTGCTGAACTATACCCCGGCCACGGCTGTTGAGGTTGACGTCAAATGTTGGCGTACTTTCTGGAAAAACTGGGACACCTACGGGGAGGCGGTCATTGCGGTGCCGCTTGGAGACTTTCAGAGAAAACCCTTAGATGAGCAGGCAGATCACATAGCTGAGTCGGTTTGGAGTTTTAACGACTTGCTCTTCGAGAGGTGCCCCAAGGCAAATCAAAGAGGGGTAAGTAAAGTGGTGAACACGTTGTCTGTCCGAAAAAAGAAAGGCTGTCCGCCGCCTTACAAGGCGGTTCCAGCGGGTGAGAAAATCTAATGCTGCGAATGGTGTTCAGCTAAGCGTCGAATTGAGGCAATGCCTCAATGGCTACAAAGGCATGCTTATTGAGATTAAAGAGGACAACTGGAAAAAATTTGTCTCCTGCAATCGCGATGATCCTTGGAGTCAGATCTACCGTGTTATCAAGGGAAAAAAATCCTTGCATATAATCGGTGTTCGTACTTCTAAGGGAGTACTATCCACTTGGAGGGAGTGTGTGAATGCATTACTGGATACAGTCTTCCTTGGGCAGGATCATGAGATTCTCCCCAGTATTAGGTTTGCGCCTCTTGCCCCGCCCTTGGAAAAGTATGAAGTTGAGTATGCAATTTCCAAAGTCAAGTCAAAAAGATCGTCAGATATTGACGGCATTACTGGGCAGATGGCTAAAGCCATATGGAAGGTTATTATATATGCCTTCATGTATACGACTTATTGCCTGTGTCTGTCTGAAGGCTTTTTCCACAGCAGTGAAAATGGCAAATGTTGTGATTCTTCTGAAGTCACCTGATAAGGTGAAGAGTGATCTTTCTTCTCATTGGGGCATTAGTCTCCTCCCAGTACTCGGAAAAATTCTGGTTTCAGATGATTCCTACCCTCAGTCTGTCTGATAGGCAGTTCAGCTTCCGCAGCGGTCTTCGTACGGAAGATGTCTGGCGACAGGTGCAGGCGTGTGTCAGGGTCTCATACGATAAATATATCTCACACATATTTATTGGCTTTAAGGGTGCATTCGACCATCTCAACTCGCCAAACTGGGCGAGGTCGATTGGCTGAAAATTAAACTCTGGGCAAGCTATTTCTTACAGAAACGAGCTTGTGTTATCGGTAGAAACGGCATTTTTTTCAGGGATGTGGTTGGAGGCTGGCCGCAAAGATCCAT